TCGCGACTTCAAGCACACGTTTGCTTATTCTCGTCATCGGAAATATCCAAAATCTGATTTATTAGAGATCTAAATTTCAATCCCAACCCTGTGTGACAACAGGATCCATGGAAGAGGGTCGGGCTGGGAGCTTCTTTAAATACCCTTACACTATGTTCCAAATATGGTAAGATATTTCATCACCAAAATTTATTATTTTGTGATTTTATAGACTTGTCATTTTCTAATGTAAAAGTCGTGATATACTAGCAGGCAAAGCAAGCAAGTAGTTATACGAGAGTTCATCTCCCCATGGAGCTTTTAACTGTGGTGATTGGGAGTTAGGTTTTCCCATCTTTTCGCGAAAATGCTCCCGCGAATATCTTTTATGTAATTAAATTTTTGCATCGAAAGGGCTAGGCTATTCAAAAATTACATTTATAAGCTTTTTCAAATCCTTTTTTTTTTCTTATAGCAAATGCATTCACTAGGATTTTATAGGAAACGTATGTGGTAAAGGGGATTAAGTATTGCGATAATTAGTGACATATCATACCGTCAGGAGTTCTACTCACTTTTTTTCCAAATTCAAGATTTGCGAGACATGCCCAGGCGCTCAGCTTCTTGTCTATGTAAAACACTCACCTCAATATGGCAAATGTGTGGATACATGTTCCGAAGGACAAGTACCAGATTGTGAGTGTCTGAAGTTTGCTTCCACTTTTTGAATCCACTTTTTCATAATGTAGATGAAACCAATTTGGTGCAAGCTCGTTGTGTTCTCCGCGAGGAACGATGCGGATTGGGCTATTATTTAAATTCTATAGGGAAATGCGATCAGTGTGATCAAGCTTGCGCAACATGCCATGGTCCAGGTAGAAATGTCTCCAAATGTTCCACAAATTTCAGTTTTCTAAATTAGAGTTGTTTTTAGGCTCTTTAGGCTGTGACACTTGCGCAGTGGGATACGGAAATCGCTCCACAGGCTATTGCAGGCAATGTTGTGGGGAAGGACAGCAACAGTCTCAAACCTACCGATGTGGTAAGAATACTTTTATAAAAATCTCGAAAAGCTGTCTGAAGCCGTTCCACTTATGATTTGACCCTTGCATATTTAGAGGATTGTTCACTAAACGCTAAATATCTTCCACGTGGGCATCATACTTCCAGTCTCTTGTGGTCCTTTGCTTCTGTTATTTTAGTTGTGGTCATTGTTTCCCTATTTGGAACTGTAGGATATTGTCTCTTTAGGGATGATCGCAGTCAAATCGAGTAAGAATTTCTATCTGTTAGTGAATACTTGCTAAATTTTTCTTTGAAGTTATACACCTCTGCCTCACTACAATAGCCATACGGAAGAAGTGCATATATTGGACTCCGACTCAGACAACGAAGAAGATCCCGTCTTTGATGCCAAACGCATGGAAATTTGATTGTTCACTCACGGAATTTTACAAGTAGGGTTCGAGGCCATCAGCTAGAGATGTGTTCATTGAGTATAGTTTTCTTTTTTTTTCTGCTTTGGCAGAACACACTAGTTTTTGTCGAAATCATTCCTTTCTTCGATTTTCCTTACGATATTTCACTTTTCTCTACTTTTACTTACTTGTTATGACTTCTCGCTTGGTTTATAACTACTTTTTCCTTTTTTATTCCACTTTACCACTATCTCATATACCTCTATCTTCTGCATGCATAATTCGGGGCGAAGTGCGATTAACTTCACGTTATTACAACAAAACTTATTGCTTGCCTGCGGTACAGGTCACCGCTTTATTCATATCTGAAATAAGCACTTATCTATATTCATTGCATTATTCGGTGATTCCCATTGCCTTCTTAGCAACCTGTTCGTGTATCATTGAAAGCCACATATTTCTGGATAGACGTGCCTTTGCTGTTTTGTACTCCTTCTATTTCTGACCGCTCGTCTTGCGGTTTCACTTGATAATTATATCTGCTAAATCTCCACAGGTAACCAGTACTATTAGCGTCTACAAGCAGTCGAACTTGTTAATTTATAGCAGTTCTCCGAGATTCTATTGTCATATTTGTTTACTTTGTTTTTGCTCGTTTTATAATAGAGTTCTATGCATTTGGTAGATCGAATAGTTGTATTGTTTGGTTTGGTATTGCATTGTACGACAAGGTTAT